AGAGACAGAGACAGAGACAGAGACAGAGAGAAAGAGAGAGAGCGAGAGAGAGAGAGAGAGAGAGAGCGCGAGAGAGCGAGAGCGAGAGAAGCATCAGTGTCATGATTCTTTCCTCGCACGCTGATGAACTTGTTCGACAGGTTTTTGCGGTTTAGCGCGCGCTGAAATCTCCGAATCTAAATCTCGCGCGCGACCACTAATTGGATTCTCCACGAAAACTCCAGCGAAAGTGAATCACAACGTATATACGTTGTGATCACTGATGCCTGCTCTACTTTTCCTCTNCACAGTGGCAGAACGACGGCTGTGCGTAGATAACTCAGTCTGACTCACGTACCGGTGTATATCATCAGTACAAGCTATGTACACGCAAAGTTACGTCTGGTGCATGCATCAATATTTATGCGTTTGTCAACATGCTCACGCCTTGCAGATAGAGAAGGTGAGTGTGGAGCGGATATCAATACTGCTGTTAGCAAATACCCGATCCCCTCCCCCTCCCCCTCCCCCTCCCCCTCCCCTCCTCCCTCCTCCCTCACTTGTCTGCAATAATTATTCATGCGGTTGGTTGGTAGGCTTACACTAGGCATACAATGTGTGCTAACCACACACACACATCGATGGTCTTACAAGCAGCTTTATGTTTGACGTATAGCTGTATCTGTGGCAGAGAGAGAGAGCGAGAGCGAGCGAGAGAGGGGGCGTGTTGTACGGCAAATATAAGGAAGGTCTGCCGGCAGGTTGTGGCTGAGACTTGAGTCTTGTTAGGTTGCCGTGTTAAGTACATCGGAGCTGTGCCGTGAGATGTTGGACTGTACTACTGTACTGTGAGTGTGAGTCAAGGGTTCTGTCTGTCTCTCTGTCTCTCTCTCTCTGTCCTCTCTCTCTCTCCTCTTTCTATTCTTACTCTGCTGCTTCTCTCTACTGTAGTGTTTCTCTCTTTTCTTTCGTTTCGTCTCTTACGACTCTTACGTCTGTCTCTTTCTCTATCACGCTCCACGCAACACACTCAACTTGGTCAAGAGCAAAAAACACCTACCCACTGCTCACGTGCTGGCTCTCTTTCGTGTGTGCTTCTCTCTCTCATCCTGTCGTCTCCTCCAGGGTGTGGTGGGTGTCTCACTCTGTCACTCTGTAACGTGTGTGTGTCACTCACTATCACTCTCACATTTTATACCGCAACCCCCGAATGAAATGACCAGTCGAGCCACACTGATCTCGGATAGTTTATAACTTAATAGATCAGGTGTTTAAGCCTGTGGTTCATCGAACCCCTTGTTGTGGCTGGATGAGCTTCAGGAGTGTCCGTGAACCAGGCGCATAAAATGATGGATGTTATGTCCTTATGTGCATTTTCCGGTGAGGGGTCCGTAGCTTTGCACAGATTCTGCACAAAGAGGTCCATGAACTCAAACTTGTTAGATAGCTTTGCTACACTGATAGATAGCTATAGATCTATGAACATACGACAGCCTCAGCCCTCTATAGCAGTGGTTCTTAACTTTTTTTGAGTCATGGACCCCTTTGAGAATCTGGTGAAGCTATGGACCCCTTCCCAGACAAGATGCACAAAAGCACAGCGCGACAGCACAATTTTGCCATTGCGCTGGTTCACGGCCTCCCTGAAACCATCCACGGACCCCAAAGGGGTCCAAGGGACCAACAGTTGGATATATAGACATCTGTGTGTACGAAGACTACAACCTATGATTAGCTACAGCGTGTTTCCGCTCTTGCAGCATCCACGCGATAGAATGAAGGACGGCGACAAGGAGGACGTGTACGTCATCGCGAAGTACGACTACCGCGCGCAGGGCGGGCAGGAGCTGGACATGAGGAAGCACCCCAGAGCGAAAAGCTCATGCTGCTCGACGACTCCATAGCACTGGTGGAAGGTAGTAGCGCAGTGGTTACCGTGGCGACGGAGGAGCACGAGGCACTCATGCTGCTAAGACGACTCCAAGCACTGGTGAGGTACGTACGCCGCGGGTTACCCGTGGACGACGGAGGAAGCACCCCGAGCGACTCATGCTGCTAGACGACTCCAAGCACTGGTGGAAGGTACGTACGCGCGTGGTTACCGTGGCGACGGAGGAAGCACGAGCGACTCATGCTGCTAGACGACTCCAAGCACTGGTGGAAGGTACGTACGCGCGTGGTTACCGGCGACGGGAGGAAGCAGCTGAGCGACTCATGCTGCTAGACGGACTCAGCACTGGTGGAAGGTACGGCTACGGCGTAGGTACCACGGCGACCCACGGCGACGAGACAGAGGCTGCCGCTAAGAGCAGGAGGCATGGATGCGATACTGGGTGGAGGAGGAGGACGGCATGGCACGCGTGCTGGGAGGAGGACTAACGAATGCCGAGGAGGGGAGGGGGGGGGGGAGGAGGAGGAGCAGAAGAAGACTAATAACGACAGTGTGATGGGAGCAATGGGTATGACAGTGGATTGATTGGGGCGGCGTGCCAAAAACGACAGCTGATGCTGGGGTCAGTCATTGGCAACGGATGTTAGGCGAGCGCAGCGAGGACCAGATACTGATGAGCAGGGAGGCGGGCAGCAGGTGTTCATCCTTGAACCGGCTTGGCGGCACGGGAAAGAAGACACTATGCTTTTTATCAAGTCGCTCACTACTTACGAGCATAGGTAAACACTGAGCGTTTTCACTCTGGCAGCCGCGTTCCTCCTAACTGTTGCTAACGCTAGAATCTGAGTCCGAGATATTCGAAGCTCCCACTGTAATGAGTACTTCTGTCGTTAAGACTGCTCATTTCATGAAACGGAAAAATGCTACGGAAATCACGGAATCACTCCCTCTGAAACGGAATCACACCCCCTCTAACGAATCACCAGTTTCACGACAAAAATACCTCTCAAAACACAAAAATAACCGTTAAAACAGTTCAAATCAACTCCCAACACACACAAAATGATTATGAAAAGCTTATCTTACATTCTACACTTTACCCTCTTAAACAAATTTGAGTTGTTGTCCTGCAAAATAGTATATAAAACAGAAATTCATTTCACTGCACAGATCATAACTCAGAATTTAGGCATACGACAAACCAAGACCAGTTACAACGTTTCAAATTTGAGGCGCAGGCTTTTTTTCTACCAAGCACAGGCTCAGCAGTGCTGTTATATATTTGAAGCAGGCATCCATTCGGTGTTTTCTCTAATTTTAATTATTTCAGAATTAAAATGTAGAAACTTTGCTTGAAAACGGAATTGAAGATGGAAGTTTGTAATCCCCGAAACGCGGAATTTGGCAAATTTTGAAGCGGAAATTGTGCAGTCCTACTTCTGGGACAACATCGCGTGTTGTGTGAGCACTGGTGGGGGAGGACTGAGTGGACCTGAAGGCAGTAGCCTAGTGTGTGAGTTTGTGTGAAACAAAAATAGGTTATGGGAACCTAGGCAGAGGGGGGGGGGGGGGAGATGAGGTTAAATAGAGGTATACAGCTACTTTGTCAGATCCAAAGGTGTGTGTACCAGACGTGTAGGTGAGGTAGGATGTGTGTGTACAGTTGTGTAGATGAGGTAGGTGTGTGTGTAACAGTTGTGTAGATGAGGTAGGTGTGTGGTGTAGCAGGGGTGTAGGTAGGGAAGGTGTGTGTGTCACAGACCGTGTGTAGGTGAGGTAGGTGTGTACAGGTGTGTAAATGAGGTAGGTGTGTATGTACACCGTGTGTGTAGCATGAGGGTGTGTGGTGTACATGTGTGTAGATGAGGTGTGTGGGTGTACAGGTGTGTAGATGAGTAGGTGTGTGTGTATACAGGTGTGTATGATGAGGTGTGTGTGTGTTGTAACAGGTTGTAAGATGAGGTGTGTGTGTACAGGTGTCGTAGATAGGTGAGGTGTGTGTGTACAGTGTGTGAGTAAGATGAGGTAGGTGATGTGTTACGGGGTGGATCGGTGAGGTAGGTTGTGTGTGTACAGACCTGTGTGTAGGTGACGGTAGGTGTGTACAGACGTTGTGTAGCATGAGGTAGGTGGTGTATCAGTGTATGTACAGTGTGTAAGATGAGGTTTGGTGTGTGTACATGTGTCTAGATGAGGTCGTGTGTGGTACAGGTGTGTAGATGAGTAGGTATAGTGTGTACGGGTGTAGGTGGAGGTAGGTGTGTGTGTAGCAGACCTGTGTGTAGGTGAGGTAGGTGGTGTAGCAGGTGTGTAAATGAGGTAGGTGTTGTGTGTACAGGCTGTGTAGATGAGGGTGTGTGTGTGTGTACAGGTGTGTAGATAGAGTGTGAGTGTGACGTTGTAAGTAGATAGATGACACGGTGTTGAGCATGAAGAAGAGGATACGAGGGGGAGGGCGTGTGTGTGTACAGGTCGTGTAGATGAGGTAGGTGTGTGTCAACAGGTGTGATAGATGAGGTGTGGTGTGTACAGGTGTGATAGATGAGGTAGGTGTGTGTAAGGTGTGTAGATCGAGGTGTGTGTGTACAGGTGTGTAGATGCAGGTAGAGTGTGGTGTACAGGGGTGTTAAGAGAGGTGTGTGTGTGTACAGGTGTGGAGATGAGGTAGGTGTGTATACAGGTGTGTAGATGAGGTGTCGTGTGTGTGTACAGCCTGTTGTGTAGGTGAGGGTAGGTGTGTAGAGTGAGGTAGGTGTGTGTGTGTGTAGCAGCGTGTGTAGATGAGCGTGTGTGTGTTACAGGTGTGTAGATGATGGTAGGTTGTGTGTACAGGTGTGTAGATCGAGGTGTGTGTGTGGTGTAAAGGTGTGTAGATGAGGGTGGGTGTGTGTGTGTACAGGTGTGTAGATGGGTAGGTGTGTATACAGGTGTGTAGATGAGGTGTGTGTGTGTGTATCAGGTGTGTAGATGAGTAGGTGTGTGTGGCTACAGGTGTGTAGATGAGGTGTGTGTGCTACAGGGGTGTGTAGATGAAGGTAAGGTGGTGTGTACAGGGTGTGTAAGAGATAGGTGGTGTGTCTACATGCTGGCTGTAGATGCAGGTAGGTGGTGTGTACAGGTGGGTTAGATGGGTAGCGTGGTGTGTGTACAGGTGTGTAGATGAGGTAGCGTGTATGTAACACGGGTGCTAACAGGCAAGGCTTCGATTATCCGCATCCGATACACCTGGCCAGATCCACACCCACCAAACGCCACTAGCCACCGCCCACAGGCCAGTTGAGGCGTTTCAATAAAAAATCATGCTAAATAACATGACGAAATCTATTTACTACTCAAAATTCTAATCAATGTTTTTCTAATAGTTAGTTTAATATATTATATAGTAGTATATATATATATATATATATATATTATAGTATTTAAGTGTTCAGTGTCGCGGCAGCAATGGCGCTTGGCGGCAGCTCAGTATTTGTTGTAGAACTCGAGCATTTCGAATGGAATTTACAGGAAATTGTGTTGCAGCGAATAATAGGCGAAAGAGAGTAGAGAACACTGTAGTAAATACATTTTCGTATTATTTAGCATTTATATTTTATTGAATACGCCTCAAAAGTGCGCTGTGTCACCGCCCCGCCCCTCCCTGCCCCGCTCACTGAGTCACCTAATCGGCATCTGTTTGCAAACACAACACTTTACGAGCTTTTGCAGCGAGAAGCGAAGGAAGGAGTGTACGTACATGTATGCGTAGTGGCGTAGTGCTACTTGCGGGCGTACTGGTTAGTAACTGTTTTAGTGTGATAGATACTTGCTACTTACTGCCGGCAAGCCTCAGCAGTAGCCGGGGGCGGCACCTCTGTAAAACGAACACCGATTCTTATCAGTCGCCCTTGAGTGGTAATTATACAGTGAAACTACCTCTATAGAACGGACACTTGTATATAAAGGTCACTCGGTGGTTCCCTTAAACAGCAGCTATACGGTTAAACCCCCTCCGTAGAACGGACACCTCTCCATAAAGGGCACTTAGGTGAGGGGGGGGTTCACTCGTGTGGCAGTTACAGTATACTGTTAAACACCCTCGATAGAATGTTTACATTGTATAGAATGGATTATTCATACATACATACATACATGTATTCAGGAGATGTATTCATGACATGTATTCATGACATTTATTCATGTATACATTGTGTTTCATGGTTATAGAATGGTTGTATTGAGAGTACTTAATAAAAAATGAAAATGAAAAATAATCCCAGGATACTTTAATACCCAGAAGTTTCCTCGAGTGACAGTTAGTTACAGGTTTAGCTATATGAACAGCCTGTTAGCTTGTTATCAAACAACCATCAACGTAAACTCAAACAGCGGCAGTTTCGTCCCGCGAGCTTTGTGCGTCTGCCCCCGCCCCATCGACGCGGCAAAACAAATAGACGATTGAATTCTCGTTACTTCTTGTGTTCCGAGGGGGATGTCCCGGGCTCGCTCAGGAGAGGAGGGGGAGGTCCCGGATCCGCTCGAGGGAGGAGGAGGAG